TGGCAGTGGGCGTAGGTAAATGGGCAGGTGGCAGTGGGCGTAAGTAAATGGGCAGGTGGCGGTGGGCGTAGGTAAATGGGCAGGTGGCAGTGGGCGTAGGTAAATGGGCAGGTGGCAGTGGGCGTAGGTAAATGGGCAGGTGGCGGTGGGCGTAGGTAAATGGGCAGGTGGCAGTGGGCGTAGGTAAATGGGCAGGTGGCAGTGGGCGTAGGTAAATGGGCAGGTGGCGGTGGGCGTAAGTAAATGGGCAGGTGGCAGTGGGCGTAAGTAAATGGGCAGGTGGCGGTGGGCGTAGGTAACTGAGAAGGTGGCGGTGGGCGTAGGTAATTGGGTAGGTGGCAGTGGGCGTAAGTAAATGGGCAGGTGGCGGTGGGCGTAGGTAATTGGGTAGGTGGCGGTGGGCGTAGGTAATTGGGTAGGTGGCAGTGGGCGTAGGTAATTGGGTAAGTGGTGGTGGGCGTAGGTAAATGGGCAGGTGGCAGTGGGCGTAGGTAAATGGGCAGGTGGCAGTGGGCGTAGGTAATGGGCAGGTGGCGTGGGCGTAGGTAAATGGGCAGGTGGCGGTGGCGTAAGTAAATGGACAGGTGGCGGTGGGCGTAGGTAATTGGGTAAGTGGTGGTGGGCGTAGGTAATGGGCAGGTGGCAGGGGCGTAGGTAAATGGGCAGGTGGCAGGGGCGTAGGTAAATGGGCAGGTGGCAGTGGGCGTAGGTAATTAGGTAGGTGGCGATGGGCGTAGGTAATTGGGTAGGTGGCAGTGGGCGTAGGTAAATGGCAGGTGGCAGTGGGCGTAGGTAATTGGGTAGGTGGCGGTGGGCGTAGGTAAATGGCAGGTGGCGGTGGCGTAGGTAATTGGGTAGGTGGCAGTGGGCGTAGGTAATTAGGTAGGTGGCGGTGGGCGTAGTAAATGGGCAGGTGGCAGAGGGCGTAAGTAAATGGGCAGGTGGCGGTGGGCGTAGGTAACTGAGAAGGTGGCGGTGGGCGTAGGTAATTGGGTAGGTGGCAGTGGGCGTAAGTAAATGGGCAGGTGGCGGTGGGCGTAGGTAATTGGGTAGGTGGCGGTGGGCGTAGGTAATTGAGTGGGTAAGGTGGGTTTGTGGGTAAGTGGGTGAGTAGTTAAGTGCGAGGGTGGAAACAGGTGGAAAGAAAAGGGTGGATGTTTAGGGTGGAAGAGTGGGTGAAACTCCTCGCGAAGAGAAGGGGGGGGGAGTGATGTTGGTGCTGAGGGTGGGGGGGGGGAGGAGGAGGGGGAGGAGGAGGAAGGGGGGGAGGTGAAAGGGTGGAGAATGTTATGATGAAGATTGTAGGAGTAGAGTGAAGGTTGCCCCCCACCCCCCTTCATTCTCTTTATCTTTGCCTCTCTCTCTCTCTCTCTCTCTCTCTCTCCCCATCTCTCTCTCTCTCTGTCTATCTATTACTCTCTCCTGCTTTCTCTCTCTTTCTGTCTCTCTCTCCATCTTTCTCTCTCTCTCTCTCTCTCTCTCTCTCTCTCTCTCTCTCTCTCTCTCACTCTCTCTCTCTCTTTCTCTCTCTTTCTCTCTCTCTCTCTCTCTCTCTCTCTCTCTCTCTCTCTCTCTCTCTCTCTCTCTCTCCCTCTGTCTCTATCCCCCCCCCTCTCTCTCTCTCTCTCTCTCTCTCTCTCTCTTTCTCTCTCTCTCTCTCTCTCTCTCTCTCTCTCTTTCTCTCTCTCTCTATCCCCCCCCCTCTCTCTCACTCTCTCTCTCTCTCTCTCTCTCTCTCTCTCTCTCTCTCTCTCTCTCTCTCTCTCTCTCTCTCTCTCTCTCTCTCTTTCTACCCCCCCTCTCTCTCTCTCTCTCTCTTCTATCCACCCTTTCATTCCTCCCTTTTCCCTCTATCTATCAACACATCTATCTATCTTTTCGTCTTCCTTTTCTCCAAAATACAACAGAAAACCAGTGTAACCACAAGGGAGAAGTGGGGAGGGGGGGGGGCCACAGGGGGGGGGGTGTCATGTGCAACGGCAGTAAATGCAAATGTGAGTGATGGTGACATGAGGAGGGGACATCGAAGGAGGTGTTGGAAGAGGAGGAGGAGGAGGAAGAGGAGGAGGAAGAGGAGGAAGAAAGGAAGAAGAGGAGGAAGAAGGAGGAAGAGAGGAGGAAGAGGAGGAAGAAGAGGAGGGGACATCGAAGGAGGTGTTGGGGGAGGAGGAGGAGGAGAGGAAGTAGGGGGAAGAAAGGAAGAAGAGGAGGAGGAAGGGGGGAAGAGGAGGAGGAGGAGGAAGAAAGGAAGAAGAGGAGGTGGGAGGGGGGGAAGAGGAGGAGGAGGAATAGGAGGAAGAGGAGGGGACATCGAGGGAGGTGTTAGAAGAGGAGGAGGAGGAGGAAGAGGAGGAAGAAATGAAGAAGAGGAGGAAGGGGGAGGAGGAGGAAGAGGAGGGAGGTGTTGGAGGAGGAGAGGAAGGAGGAGGAAGAAAGGAAGAAGAGGAGGAGGAAGGGGGAGAAGGACTAAGGGGGAGGAGAAGGAGGAGGAGGAGGAAGGGGGAGGAGGAGGAGGAGGAGGAGAGGAAGGAGGAGTAGGAAGTGGAGGAGGAAGTGGGAGAAGGAGAAGGAGAGGAAGTGGGAGAAGGAGGAGGAGGAGGAGGAGGAAGGGGGAGAAGGAGAAGGAGTAGGAGAAAAGGAAGATGGAGACAAGGACAAATAGAGAAATAATAAAGAAAGACGAGAAAGGGCAGAAAAAAGGAAAAGGAATAGGAGGAAGAGGAGGAGGAGGACATGGGAAAAGAAAATAAATAAAAGAGGAATTTTAGGGAAAGAAAAGATAAGGAGAGAGAAAGAGAAAGATGAATAGGAATAAAAAAGAGGGGAACGGAGGAAGAGGAGGAGGAAGAAAGAAAGGAAAATTAATAAAGAAGTAGGAAGAAGAGGTGGATGAAACAGAAGAGGAAGAAACGAACTTCAAAAGAAAAGGAAGACAAAGAAGGAGAGGAAGAAAAGACAAGAAAATTAGGAGAAGGACGAGGAGGAGGAGGAGGAGAAGAAGGAAGAGAAGGAGGAGGAAGAGGAGAAGGAGGAGGAGAAGAGGAGGAGAAGGATGGAGGGAACAGAAAATAGAGCAATAAGAAGAGGAATATATATAAAAGAAAAAAAGAAATTCAGAAAACGAGAGAAAATAAAGTGCACACTCACAATCAGAAAATAAACACAAGGCAGACAAAAAAACAAACAAACAAACAAAAAAAAAGATAAAACACCTAAAACTTATTATTAACAACCGACAGACAAAAAGAGAGAGAGAGAGAGAGAGAGAGAGAGAGAGAGAGAGAGAGAGAGAGAGAGAGAGAGAGAGAGAGAGAGAGAGAGAGAGAGAGAGAGAGAGAGAGAGAGGATATTGCATAGATAAAACACCGAACTAATTAGCAACAGACAGACAAAAAAAAAAGAAAAAGAAAAAAGAAAAAAAAGTAGAGGATATACCATAGATAAAAACACCGAACTAATTAGCAACCGGTAACTCGACATATGTGAGTTGCCAATGTCCTAATAAATATTCAATTTCTGGCCCATAATAGATGAAGGATCGTATCAACATATGCAACATCTGTACAAACAAACAGACAGCCTGCAATATCAGATGATATTCTAATTATACAACAGATTGGTAAACAAATGCAGATACAAAGGTATACACTTATAATCTCTTGTTAACATAAAAGCGAACACAATATGATTCTCTTCCTGGTTAAACATCTTATTTTGGTCGATTTTAGTTTATAAATGATAAAAGTTCAATATTTTGTTGATCTATTTTGATTGGGTTGTTTATTTATTTGTTTTATTCTTTCTCTGTTTTATCTTATTTTGTTCTTTCTCTGTTGTTTTTTTTTATCGATTACGGTTCGTTTTATTTTATTTATTTATTATTATTTTTTAAAATCTTTTTTCGTCTTTTTTTTTAAGAGGGGGGGGGGAGGGAAGGGAAGAAGTAAATTTTTTAGACTTGAATATTGGTTACTGATTTGAATCCCAAATTTGTTTACTTGTTTTTTTTTTGTTTTTTGTTTTTATATTTCTAGTTTTTATTTATTTATTTTTCCCTGATCCTGTCTGTATTTTCTTGTTCTGTCAATTTATCTGATTCTTTGTCAGTCATGTTCATTCTGTTTTCTCGAGTTATCGCTTTAACGTTTATTTATTTTTTTGTTTTTTTATCTTTAAAGCATTTCCTCCTTCGTAATGTCATTTCCATTTTTATCTTTGTTTTCAGTTTATTTTTTGAATCTTTATTCCGTCTCTGGTTGTCTCTGTATGTCTGCTGAAATTCTGTTCTCTCTCTGTTTCTGTTTCTTTTTCTTTTTCTTTTTTCTGTTTTCTCTATTTCTGTCTTTTTCCGTCTGTCTGTCTTTCTCTTTGTCTCTGTCTTCGTCTCTCACTCTCCCCTTCTTCCTCCCTCCCCTTCCTTCCTTCTCTATTCCTCTCCCCACACCCTCTTCCTCTTCTCTCCTTTCCTCCCCTCCTTTTCCTCTCCTTCTCTTCCTCTCCTCCCCTTCCATCCCTCACCCTTCCTCTTCCCTCACCCCTTTCCTTTCCTTTCTCTCATCCCCTTCCTCTCTTTCCCTTTCCTCCCCTCCTCTTCCTCTCCTCCCCCCCCTTCACCCCCCCTCCCCTTTCTATCCCTCCTCTCCTCTCTTTTTTCTTCTTCCTCTTCATATCTATCTATTTTTTAACCTTTTTTCCCCTTCCTTTTTATATTTATTCATTTATTCTTTAAAAAGCCAAAAGTCCCTGCCCTCCACCTGCCAATCTCAGTCCAATGTAAACAAGGCGTTCCATGTACCGTATTGACAGGTCCCTTTGTTTTGCCCTCGGAAACACTTAAGGTAATTGCATGATTATTATAACTGATGACACCCATTAAGGCACTGCTCCTCATGAACTGAATTAACGTCTATAATGGATAGGGATAATGGTACATGCAGCGCCCACGCCCATTTCTACCTCCCGCCTCTAACACAGGCGCCCACTGGCCTCCCACGTCTCAT